GCAAGTATTTGAATGCGATACGCGAGTGCGGACTCACGGTGTCCCCACCCAACGCACGTCCCGTGGAGTCGACCCACAACGAACGGGAGATCATCGAGAGGGTGGAATCAGTGCACGGCTGGGCCAACGCACAGCTCCTCGACCTGATCGTCCACAAATCCGAACTCATCTCCCACCTGAGGTACCGCACCCACCCACACCCCCGTATGCAAGCTTTTATGCTGTGCCGGTACTAACTGTTGTTCTTGTCTGTTGCAGATCTCTCAAACAGTACTTCCTTCTGGAGCAAGGCAACTGGGTTGAAAACTTCATGGAGCTGGCGCAGGACGAACTGAACAAGAAGTTCAATGATATCCTCTTCCAACCCCCCCTCTCTTCGCTCTCTTTTCTTTCTCTCTTCTCTGTTCTCTCTTTCCCTTCACATCGGTTTGATTGGGTTCAAGCCTTGACTCCAGCGCAAAGATCGCCGAGTGGAAGCTCAAGTCGAAGCTCGACATCGCGCTGGACGGGGTGGAAGACGTCAATAAGGACAACCTCAAGCTCGCCCTGCTGTCGCACTCGCTCTCCACCCAGCTGTCGCTCATCCACGCCCCTCCGCCCGAGGACAACAAGACCATGCTCAACTCGACTGTGTTCGCCAAAGAGAAGGACTCCAAGCTCACCGGTACCACAGCCTTCGTTGTGTGTGTGTGTGTGTGTGGTGTCCTGATCAGTTTACTTTCTCCTCGCGCACAGGCTTCGGATGCTTCACTCTCGACTACAAGGCGCAGTGGCCCGTCTCGCTCGTGCTGAGCAGGAAAGCGTTGACGCAGTACCAGCTGCTCTTCCGTCTGCTGTTCTACTGCAAGCGCGTGCGGAACGGCCTCGACAACGCCTGGCTCTGGCACCAGTCCATGAAGGAGCTGCCCCACGTGCGAGCCCTCCTCGCCCACACCTTTCTCCTGCGCCAGCGGTACATCTCCACCATTCAGCAGCCAGTTGCCCTGGGCATGGACTCACGCAGGGGCGTAGGATGCTGCACGTGGTGACGACCCTGGAGCGGTATTTCCTGCTGGACGTGGTGGAGCCCAACTGGCGGCTGCTGGAGAAGCGCGTGCGGGAGGCGGCCACGGTGGAGCAGATTCTGAGCTTTCACAATGACTGCATCAACTCGAGCTTGCGCCAGTGCCTGCTGACCGACATCAAGCTCTTCAAGGTCGCCCTACGTCACCATTCACAGTCTTCTTCTTCTCTTCTGCTGCTCGCCGCACACATGAGACCTGTTCCTAACTAACCGCGGCCCTCTACATTTTCACACCGGCAGATGGTAGATCGTGCGCTGACGGCGTGCCACGTCTTCACCAGCTATATGGCGACCTGCGCCAAGCACATCGACTCCACCGACACCGCACTCAATATCAACCTCTCGTTGAAGCAAAGGAGCGCCAAGATGAAGGTGAACCCAACCCGGCACAGCGCCTTCTTCTCGCTTCTCTGTCGTCTCACCCCGTATCGTGTGTCGTGTCGCGTGTGCGTGTCGTGTCGTGTGCGGTGGCTGATTGTTTTCCGTGTGCCTACACGTTCACAGGAATCGGCGTCGAGCGTGCGAGCGGTGGTGGAGAGCGCCAAGTACCAGGCCTCGATCACGCAGCTCCGGGACAAGTTCTGTAAATACACCGACGAGCTGGTGTCCGCCCTCGCCTCGCTGCCCACCACCACCTACGACTCCCACATGTCCCTCCTCGCCGAGCGCCTCCGATTCGACGGGGCCTGAGGGCCTCCAGTGAAGAGAGGTCTGTACTCGCCGACAGACAGAAGAAGAAGAAGAAGATGAAGTACAAGACGAAGAACAAGTGGCGGCCATGGTGAGGAACGATGGACGCTCTTGGCGGCGCGAATAAATAAAGGAGAACAAACTACATGTGATGGGGGTTGGTGTGATGGTGGAGTAAGTGGAGATGATGATGCTGATGATGATGATGCTTGCGTCATTCGACCATTACTCCTTGATGAGCTTGTGGATGGAGTCGCGGTCGAAGTGGTCCTCGATGCGGCCGGCGAGCCAGGCGTCCCACCACTTGTAGATGAAGTTCTCGACGATGAGCTTGAACCAGGGCGTGATCTTGAGGCCCTTCTCCTCCGACGTCGCCATCAGCTCCTGCAGCTCCTCCTTGGTCACGTAGCGGTAGTCGGACACCTCGTTCTCCCGCGGCACCACCGTCGTGTTGGCCGTGATGAACAAGATGTAGTCGACTACACGCAAAAGAGAGATAGCGATGAGCACATCCAACAAGGCTCTGAAGAAGAAGAAGAAGAAAGACGCACTCTCGTGTTCACCCCAGATGCCGTCGGCGGAGCCGTCGAGCGACTTGTAGTGAATTCGGGTGATGAAGTTGAACTTGTCGAGGGGCACGTCGGCCGACACGATGCCCAGCTCGTGCCACAGCTTCCGCTGCGCCGCTCGCAGGACGCCCATGTTGCCCTCCTTCTCCAGCTCCCAATCGTCGGGAATGCCCACCTTTGTCGTGCCACACGCACGACACACACACACACACGACACACACGACACACGCCATCAGCACGGCGATCGCAAGAGGATGGCGAAGGTGATCGTCACCTTCTTCTCGGTGTCGGTGGGGTCGACGTAGTAGACGGGGTGGGAGCAGCAGGTGTTGGTCCAGTGCGAGGGGAAGGTGATCTTCTTGTCCGAGCGCTGCTGCAGCAACAGCTTGCCCTCTGCTCGGACGGGGGCGCGCATGTCGTTAGTGTTTCGAAACCAAACGAAAGAGCGAAAGAAAGAGCGAAGCGAAGAGGCGAGCGTAAGCCACGTGCCATTGTTGAAGAGGAAGACGCTGAAGGCACGGTGCAGCATGCCGTTCCGGATGGAGCTGTTCAGGTGGCCTGATTGTTCACCAGATGAAATTTTAGATGCTTTTAATTCTATTAAATTGTATACTTGCATTCTGCCGATTGGCGAGCTGGTGAAGCGTACACTCCTTCTTGGTGGCAGAACCGATCACCTGGTCCTTCTCATCGACGAGGATGCACTTCTCCTCCATGAGCCGCACCTGATCCGCATCGGCCCACGCAAGAGCGCCCACTCCTGAAGAAACGTTGCGATCGGTCGTCATATAAGTGACGGCACTGGCACCAGCAGGCATCACACAGGTTGTGGCCCGGCTTTGCAATCCGGTCCGGCCGATTTGCCGAAGATGAAATTGAATTTTTGATTTTTGTTTAAAAGGCCGTAAATCGCTAAGGATATATATCGTCACGACGTGGGCGGCAATAATCAACACGCAGAAGGTACCTTCCGCGCTGGTGTTCATCGTCGTTAAAAGTATGTAAGGGTAAGGATGCCAACGCCGGAGCAAGACACAGAATTCAATGGCGAGTATTGCTGGAATGCCAATTATGAAAGGAAAACAAGTATTCTCCTCAATTTCTTTCAAGAAAGAACCCACACGATCAATCTTTTCCCATCGCTGTGCGCTTGTAATTGCTTCTTCCAGCTTTATGGTAAGGCCCCTTCCTCAATCTTCCTGCACAAACCTATCATGCAAGTAAGCTGCGTCGATTTGGTGGGCTGATTGATTTTTTTGGATGACGTGGGCGTATGGTGCAGAACGTGCTTACCATGGTGAGTCCACCTGACCTGATATCGTATCTGCTGGGCGCCGCCATCATGCTGGTCGGCATCGTGCTACCTCTGGGCGTCATGGTCGTAAAGAACAACCGAGGCGTGTGGAAGAACGTGTGAGCCTCCACCACCCACCAAGAAATCGGCCACCGCCAGCGCAGCCACCACATCGTCTCTCTGTACACACCTTCACACCCGACAGACAACAATGGCACTCTTCCTGGTCTTTGTTCGGCTCCACATGCACACTTACAGCAGCGCGTGAGCGTAGGCGTGGGCAGCTGTGCCTCTACTGGGTGGCTTGGGTCCACAGGCCGACCAGGCGGGCGAAGGCGGCCATCCTGCCGGCCACGCCTTTCTCTTCCTCCTCGCGCAGCAGGTGGGCGATCTCCTCGACCCGCGCCTTCTCGTCCGCGCCGACCGCCTCCGACTTGGCCTCAACTTCATCGTCACCCACGGCCGCGCCATGGGTGGTCGCGTCGCTGCTGTCATCATCATCGGCCGTAGCACTGTTTTCGGTCTCCATGAGCTGGAGGTCGATGGCCAGCTCGCCCTCGAACTTCTGGGCGATCTTCTCCGCGCTCGCCACAATCTCCTCATTCACGCCCTGCACCACGTTCCACCGCACCACCACCCGATGGTGTCAGTACTGTAGTGGCCAAGGGCCGGAGGAAGGGAGAAGTGCGTGGTCAGTACGCACCGCCATGCGAGCGACATTCATGCCGTAGCTCTTGGGGCACACGCCATCGGCCACCTTGTACAGGAACGTAACCTCCTTCCTGAATTCACACACACACACACACACACACAACCCCACACGTTCAGTAATGGTTGCTGAGAAGAAGAAAAAGATGAAGAAGAGGAGACGTGGGCGGTACCGATCGTCGTCGATGTGGCACGACATGTGCTTGAGCGCGATGTGCGGGTTGCGTACGACCTCGTCCGTGAGCATGTGGTAGTGCGTGGAGAACAGCGTGCGGCAGCCCACCTTGCGCGACAGGTGCTCCAGCACTGCGTACGCGATCGAGTAGCCGTCGAAGGTGGCCGTGCCCCGTCCGAGCTCGTCCAGGATCACGAGCGAAGCCGGGGTGGCGTGCTGCAGGATGCTCGCCGTCTCCTGCAGCTCGATCATGAACGTACTCTGCCCCGCCATGATGTTGTCGTTGGCACCTGCACACACCGCACACGCGCACACCCAACCGCACACGCACACACCCGACCGCACACGCCGCGCACAACCGGTCAACGACGGAGGGTTCAAGCCGCGCGGCCTAGAGCAAGTGAGTGAGTGGGTGGGGGGGATATGTGGCCCAAACCGATTCGGGTGAAGATGCGGTCGACGGGGGAAAGACGGCACGAGGCGGCCGGGACGAAGCAGCCCACCTGCGCGATGATGGCCAGCACGCACGTCTCCCTCAACAGCGTCGACTTACCGCCCATGTTGGGACCTGCCTCGAAACACCCGTGAGTGAGTGTCGTGTCGCGTGTCGTGTGTCGTGTGTTGTGTGTGCGATGGGGTGTGAAAACGAACCGGTGAGGAGGATGAGTGGCTGGTGAGGATGGCCCACGCGCAGGGTGTTGGGTATGAATTCGTCGCCGATCTTGGGGCTGATGCACGGATGCCGCATCTCCTCGGCCTCGAAGAACGCCTCCTTCGCTTCGACGAACGTCGGCCGACACACGGGCTCTGCGAATTGTACGTCCATCGTTCGGTATTCGCGTCAGCGCACTCCCCGCAGCATTCGGGCGCGGGGCCAGAAGAGGCACGAATGAGCCGTACCGCCCAGCGAGGAACTGGTGATCGCGAGTGAATGCAGGCAATCCACTTCGGCCATGCAGGCAACGGCCAGCGACCTGTTGATGAAGAGAGAGAGAGAGAGAGAGAGGACGAGTGAGTGAGGGTCCAGTAGCAGCCAACACACACGACACGACACACGACACACACCATTCGCGATGGTTCTCGGAAAACTTCTGCTGGTTGCGCGCGAACAAGCCCAGGCGGCAACGCTCAAGGTCGGTTCGGGCCTTCTCCAGATCGGCAAAGAGGGCCGAGATGGTGGGCGTCCAGTAGCGGCCCACGCTCTTGGTGTCGTTGATGGGGATGAAGGTCGACTTATGGCGCTTGATCGCCGCCTCGTTCTTGGGCGTCCTCGGAATCTCTGAAATCCACCAACATGTAAGTGGTGATTGCGTGTGCATGTGTGCGTGTGTGTGTGTGCGTGTGTGTGTGTGTGTGTGTGTGTGTGTGTGTGCATGCGTG